AATCGGTGAAGGGAATCGAAACAGCAAGTAATTATCTGTACGCATTCGCAGCGAACCTGGCACAGCGATTTCTCATACTTAGGCCAGCGCCACCAAGGTTGCGTCATGTTGTGTTTTGAAGAAACACAAGCTGTTTTCGATTCCCTTCACCGATTCTAATGAAACTTACAATACCCACGTAGAATGACTGGCCACAACGTGGTGTAGTCAGATTTGCGATTGGAACAATACTTTTTGCACGTAAGGCTTCACTAAATGACTGAACAGTCTGGCTGGTTGCAGGGTTTGGGGGGTTTGGGTGAGATTCGCGAGATCTTCTAAGGTTTTACCCCCGTTTGCAAGCCGTTACCACAGGGTGATAGGGAATTAAATTCTACTCCTTTTAGCTATCGGGAACGCCAAAAACCTATTAGAAGCTGTGCATTTAACCTCCAAAGTCACAATAACCATTTATGGACAAAATTATGCGAATTAGTTTTTCGGGCCGCCCTTTTTCGCTGCAGATTCGTATCGACATTCCAATGGCATCAAAATGCAGGGTAAACAGTGGCCAACAATCGCCTTGCTTCATGTGTGGACCTAAAACGAACGAAATGCCTTATTTTTGAAAGGCAAAGTTCAAGTCGGCGTTCTGGTGCCGGAAAATTGATTACAAATTGATTTAAAACATGTTTCAGGTATTGAAAACACATCTCCATGTGACAAGCGGATAGAAATTTTGTGTAGAATCCGAAAATGACCTCGTTTACTCAATTTGATGCAGATTTGACAAAGTTATGGTTAAAATACGAGCGCTCTGGCAGCCCGGCCGGCCGCTCGCCCGCGCGGGCCGTGCGGGGAGCATCCGCTCACGCGCTCCCTAGGCCGTTTCTGCCCCCTGAAGTAACCGACGATGGACAAGCCATGCCTGCCGAAGGCAGCTAGCGCCGCACAGTGGTTTAAAATGCTGATATAGGGGAATAAAGTCGATTTTTCAAAATCGTCCTGGAGGCATGCTGGGGGTGGAAACCGACTATAATACTCCAATATAACGTAAATAACTTTCATAGACTTTTAAATTGAGCTGGGAGCCACGGGGACAGGTTCGATTCTAGTATTTTGTATTTTGGGCAATTTCACTAATTTTCTTCTTTTTCTCACCGCCATTTTTTCCGGTAGGGCGATGCTACGGGAAAAGCGGGGTTTTTTTCTCTTAGTTTCATCACAACAAAGGAAACAGCATATAGCACAACATTCCTTTAGCGTTTGGGGCCCACGGTTGCGGTTTTTTGCTATAAATGCATTCAAAACCTAAAAAAACGTACTTTTTGAGTTTTGGTCATCTTGTGAGCGTATGTAGCTGAGTTATTTGGGGCGAGGCGCTTCCCTTACATGTATATTAACATGTCCTGGCGATAACTTTTCCGCATACGTCCGCAACACGAAACGCAAGGGCATCAACACCACAAAAAAGTGCAAAAATTTATTAGTTTTTGGGGTAAACGCTCCCGGTGGCACTATTCAAAATAAAAAAAACCTTAGTGCGATTGTTTTTCTTTTCAAATATTTTGTTTTTCTTTGTAACAAAAAGGTTTAATGCGGCTCAGAAGTTAAAACTAAGTATTTTGAGCATTTTTTAGTTTTGCATTTTTTGTCAATTCTGTCTTTTTCTTCTAATTTTACTATTTTTCTCATTATTTTAGGATTTTAAATCCAATTTTTATCGGACCACCTTTTCCTTTGAACTGGTCTTTGCCTATTGCCCACAGATGTTTAGTTCAATTCTGGTATCATTTGGTCGCACGGGACGCTTGCTAGGGCTTATTCCCCCGAAAATCGCATTTTAAAACCCCTGTGCGCCGCAGGCCAAGGTAGGTACCCAGGCGCGGATTGGAGGAAAGGGCCCCGAGACATCCGAAGCCTGTTACGACAAGACGCGGTCTGGGGTAAACCTACCTTGTAATTGGGTGAGCGATAGCGAAACCTGTTACTCCAGTGGGGTTGAAAAGTTTTTTTGTTTTGGTGGTCTGTGGCCCAAGAGCTGCATGCAACATGAGCCTGCACCGAAACATAAGGTTAAGGGGCGCAACGAATAATTAATGATGTCCTTCCCCGGAAAAAAATACTCACAGAGACAAAGTCTCGTGGACCTGGTAACTTGACGCGCACGATTTTCCAGAAACACACTTATCGTCGCGCACAATAGAGGACATGGCGAAAAAAAACCGAAAAAAAATAATGATCGAACGACGAAATATAAATGCCAATGGCGAAAAAGTCAACAAATGACTGATACAGTGTTAAAAATGGAGGAGTGGAAAAGGAAGGATAACCAACCTCACCCAGGAAAAATGATAAAATAAAAAAAAAGAAAATGTAAACAAGATATTAAAAACCCGAGTTAATTCAGAACATCGTTCCCCGAAGTCGCCGGGATGCGGGTCCGGATTAACTTCAGGCGCTGGAGGAACGTCGTCAGTAGCTGCAGCAGGAGCAGCATCCGCCGCATTCTGACCTACCACATCTTCCTGCACCGAGAAAAGACTATACTTGAATCAAATCATAATTTATACTTGACTGTCAAACATTATATTAATACTTGATTCAGGTCTATTTTTCTTAATTGAAGCTTAGTCTAGTCTCAAGTTAAGTTGAAGTTATATTAGAACCAGTCCCTTTAACTAACATTATGTCTACTATTTTAGACTTAATCCAAGTTTAACCTTATGCTTCATTCAAGATTCATTGGCAGATGGGAGTTTAGGCATCAATAGAGTTCAGCTGACAAGTAGCTCGTTTATAATATGAACAGTTACAAAACAGCAAAAACATTCCAGTGTGTAAGTTAAAAAGTGAAGTACATACGATTTTCACAATGGGAGATTTATTGAGAATAAATTCAAATACAGTAAATTTATTGCTTGCGTCTGGCTCCAGCTCCCATCTTCTTTCGAGATTCTTCAGGAACTCTGAAACATTAATTTTATCTATAAACATGTTTTGTAAAAACTTAACTTTATTTATGACTATGGTAATGCAAAAATTATTAGCTGATAGGAATTCTAAAGACTTGACAATAATTGAGAGCAGTCATATGCAGCGGAGTATTTTCTCTTTTTGGTTTACGATAATTCTCACAAAGTTGCAACTTACTTATCGTAGCTTGAGTCTAGCGTCTTATGACAGCTGATGTCCAGTTCAGAACTGGTGTGTCGAGGACTGAAGAAGCTGAATAAGTAAGCCGGAGGTGGATCGTCACTGGGAAACACACCAAACAAATTTAAGATACTCAAATTGTAAATGCTGCATTTAAATAAAAAAGAGTTATGACAAAAGGGAGTTGGGCCTATTAAATAATTGTTCAAATAAATAAGATGACCCACAAGGGATTTAAAATGTGGAAGGTTTCAAGGTTATAATCAATCACACTCACATTTTTTTTTCTGCAAACACCGGGTTCCTCATGAACATAGAGACTTGTTCTTGTGCTTTTCTTTTTTTTTCCAACAACTGGACTTCTCCTTCCAGGTACCAGGTTTCATCTGGATCCATGCTAATGCCCGATTCCTCACTCACTCTCGAAGTTTGGGACCCCATTATTATCCTTATAATTTGTACAAGTGTCCTCAACACCACACCTTCCCTCTCCCCTCCCTCCCCTCCCCGAGGGAAGTCAACTTAATGTTATGCTTGGGTCTAATGTACTATACTAGAATCGTAGTGCAGCCTTTGGCCGACAGATGGCGCGCGTAGCGTTTCTTGTTGTTGAATGCGGTGAGGCGTCCCTTCGCGGCTTACGAGACCGGAGTACCGCACACTTTCGCAGGTGAATTACGCGAAGTCCGAGTGTCCGAAGTCCAGTGCGCAAATTCGTCTGAATACTGTCAGTGATCCAGTGATCTCTCACATCATGAGTAGCGTTGATATGGAGGACGCGTTTGAAATCTCAAATGTTGTGGAACTACTGATTGAGTGGAAGTTCTCGGAGGAGATCCAACTCTCTTTCCTGAGTAAGTACGGGCTTGTTTACTGCCTGCAGCCCTTTTATTTTTCCTCGTTCGGTTGATCAAACGCATTTCAAAGAATGATTCAATTCGGGGTTCTTAACGTGTCCATTTGTTTGTCTCCAAAGTGAGGTTAGTTAGGCCTTCGGTAGGCCTTGGCCTTAGCTAGGAGCAGACCCTGCCGGTGCCCGACTCCATTTTTATCAGAAATTTTGTAACATTCCATTTGTTTTGTCAGATGCTGGAATTGAACTTCATGAGTTCTTAACTTTGAACCTCACTAAATTGCGAGACTATGTCTTGGATGCAGGTGACAGATTGAGACTCGTCAACAAAATATTTGAATATAAACGAGCACACAATGCTGATAGTGCTGTAAGTTTACCTGACGCATCCTTCCATAAAGTCACTGTACTTTTGTGTCACTTCTCATATCTTTTAATCTCCCTGGCAGAAAGAATGTTTGAGTCCTAAGGAGAATCAGCAGCGGCAAGGGGCATCTGACTTTGACACTGACCAGTTTTTAAACACAAAGGTTTCCCTCCCTCTCATTTTGATTTATTCGCTTACTTTGATCTTCATGTTTGCTTTTTTTGTATTTGCATCTGCGTCTGCTCTAACAAATACTTGTAATATTTATTTATTTACTTTTGTTGCAGGATCGTTGTGATGGTTCCGATTCAGAGAATGAACCTCTAAGCAAAAAGCCGAAGACAAATGGTCAGCAGGGGAATAGTAAGAGGGACTCGAAGGCCAACAACCCCACTTCCAGTAAATCAACTGAAGGTGATAGTCAGAACTCTAATGCTGAAAGCGGAGCAGAGACAACGAGCCCAGAGAAGAACGGTGATAAGGCTAGTGGCGCGTCTACTTCGAAGTCAGTTCCTCCTCGTTTAAAGTCCATAATCACCAGGAACAAATTCAAAGACTTTGTAAGTAAATGCCAAATTGTTTCATTTTTGTTCATTTTTATGTAAATGTGAAGATTGTTTACCTATGTTTTTTTTTGGTTTGCAGGATCTGCTTGCCTACCTTCAAGCCACTCAAAAAAGATCGAGTATTTTAGTGGGGAACAAGAATGGCATTCTAAGCACAGAACCGAAAATACTTGATACAAGTTTTGGGTGATTATATTTTAGCAGAAACTTCAAGGTTTGTATCAGGAGAGCTACTATATTTGATTTGAATGCTACTATTCATTATCATTGTTATTATTATTATTATTATTATTAAACTTTTGTTTGACTTTGCTTTGCAGTCCTACTCCAGATGATTTTATGATCATTCGAGAAAAAATTGGTGTGCTGTTTCCAAACGAACCTTTGGTAAGCCTGCTCTCATCATTCACCATGGCACGATAGCAAGTTTAGTATTTGTCACACATTTTCAACCCTATCTTTAATTTTTTTTTCTGTCTTTTCAGAATCTTATTTATCAGGCTCCACAAGAAAGTGATCGCACCCAAGCGCTTGCAAGAGGTATGCTGTTTTACCGAGTAAGAAATGAAATATCTAAACTCATCAGTAAAAAGGTGATACAACCTCGACGGCGCAGAAAGGTTTTGGATGACAGCTTTGAATCTGAAGAAGTAGACAGTATGTTTAATCTCTACCTTTCTTATTTAATTCTATGTGCTTTTATATTCAGCTCATTGTTTTTCACTGATCGTTTTCACTTTGGCCTTCAAGTATTTTTGTATGAGCATTACCATGAAATGAAAGTGGCTGAATCTGGCAACTTCATGCGGCACTAACAGATTTAAAGAGGCAAAGGAACATCACAATGCTTTGCTTCTACAGATTGCCATATGAGGTTACCAGATGTTAGGCAGGTTTTTTCATTCCTTTGTGAGACTTGCAAAGTACTTTAAAATTATGGGGAAAATAATTGATGAAGGTTGGGTTGGCTAAGCATCTATGGTTAATTTTAATTTCCTTGTTTTGTTTTTAGATCCATCAACTGAGATTGAAGGCTTGGTTCAAATTCTAAAGAGAGCTCGAGAAGTCACTTCTGAAGTAGAGAGAAACTGGGAAAAGACAGCAGAGTTCCGGCTTCAGAAGCTCAACACAGCTGCCAAAAAAGAAAAGCAGAAAGGTAAAGGAAAGAAGAAGGATAGAGAGAACCAGCCTGCAGACACTGTCCAAGACTACATTAATGACTATAAGGTTTTGAGGCACCCTCAAGCCCACAAATTGGTGAGTTTAAAACTGTGCGTTTTTATCATATTATTGTGTGTGACCCAAATTTTAATATCATTAATTATTGTTGTTTTCTTAGCTGGAATTGGACTTCAAGCATTTGTACGAGGAGGAATCAGGAAACCTTCTGTCTGAGTGGTCCAACTTCTTGTCAAAGATTGAACAATTAGCATTGAACAGTCGTATTGAAGATCAAGTAGGAAAGGAATTAGTCAGTATTTTGAAGACTGATGAATCTGATCTTGATGACAGTAAGTTTTATTATCTATTCAATTCTTCTAGAACATTTTATGCCTGTGTAGTTTAGAAATTAACTGCTTTGCATTTCTTTTTAGACAACAAGGATGCCTTGTTATTACAAATCCTTCCTTCCCTCTGCCCACCTACTGCCAGGGTAACAGTTGGAAAAAAACAACATACAAACCCAGCACTCCTGAGTCTCGTGATGCCTTTATATCATACACAACTGTAAGTTAACTCCCAATTTGTATTTGTTGATTTTTATTTCAAAGACTTACTTCTTTGGCAAACATAAATCACTCATTGAATTTTACTTCCTTTCAATTAAGTAATATTATTTTATTGGTTTTCTGTCCAGGTGGGAGCTGATCTTGAACCTCTGATTGCAAGACGGAAAGAGAGGATGGTTAAACTGAATGCCACGCAACAACCTTACATGATTTTCCTGGGACCCAAACGCTCTGATATTATTGCAACATATGTAGTTGTTGATAATATTCTCTACAAGGTGATCAAGTGTCTTGATATCTGTTTTAAAGTATTTCACACACTCTGTGCTAGTTATCCTATGGAAGCTAACCATCTGTGGCATTTCATTCATTTATATTTGTATAAAATCAAACCTAATCCAGTACTTGATGGTGTGGTACCATTGGCAACAACTTCATTCATTGCCAAGCTAAGTGCTATGTGAATTGGTTCTTCTTTATATGTCAGTTTGCAATGTCAATTTTCTCTGCATTTTTTTTTTGAAATTTTACTTTATAACTAGTGTTCAGAATTTAAGTGAAGTACTGTAATATTTATTCATTTTTGCTCTAGCTAGTCATGAGTGCAATTTAAGTTAAGTACTGCATTATATATTCCTTCTGACTCGGGCTAGTCATACAGTGCACTTTTCGTTGAGTACTGAAATATTTGTTCCTTCTGACTCAAGCTAGTCATTTATTATTTGTAGTAACTCAAGTTTATTTCTAACTGAATGTTCACAATGAAGCCCTTACCATTTCGATGCTTCCTCTGCAGTAAATCTTTTTCAGCACCTGATAGTCTTATTTGTCACATTAAAGTACTTCATTCGAGCTTAGAGCTGTCAGAGTTTCCTTGTACTTTTGAAGGCTGTATTAGAAAATTTGACTATATATACAGATATAGCAAACATTTGAAGACTCATAAATGCAATGCTGATTCTTCAAAACCTGTAAAGACAGTAAAACCCTGATTCAGTTGATTTCAATAATGGTTCCGAAAGTTTTAGTGTCATTGATGATGATAACGAGGAAAGTTCAAGTATGATAAATCCAGAAGCCACTCCTTCGGAAAATAGTGATCAAATACTGAATTTTTTTAATGCTGTCAACAATGCTGTTATCACTGCTGTTGCTAACCTTTATAGTAAAGATGCTGTAACTAGAAGCCATGTACAAGAAGTAATACAAGAAATGAAGGAGCTATTTTGTGGCTCTTTCTTTGATCTTCTAGAAGGAAATGTCATGAATGCATTGCAATCAGCTGGATCAAATGAAAATGGTAGCATAAGATGTATGTTTGATGTAATGAGAGGGATGTTTGATGATATGGACACTGAATGGAAACGGTTCAATGTGTTTAGAAAACAGGAAGCATACATAGACCCTAAAACATACCCTGTTGGGACTGCTCAAATGTGAGAGGCCAGATTGTTCTTGAGCCAGTGTTCTCACTGGTTCTTTTATTTCTCCACGCAAAGTTTTGAAATGTTTCCTGGAGCTTCCCGGTGTTCTAGATCAAATACTATCTGAATGATTTGGAGAAAGAATCCGATATTATGGAAAATGTAGTACAAGGAACGTTATGGAGAGATGACATCAAGCCCAAGTTTGGGGACAAGCTGGTGATGCCTTTGAACATGAGTTTTGACGATTTTGAGACTAACAAAGATCTTGGTAGCCACGCAGTTGTCCACAAACTTGGGGCATGTCATTTCAGCTTGGCTTGTCTGCCCCCTAAATTCCAATCCGTTCTTGAAAACATTTTCCTTGTACTACTCTTCCATAGTTCGGACAAAGGTTTTGGCCTAGAGGAGGTGTTTGGCCCAGTATTAAAGGAGTTAAAATATTTAGAAGACAAAGGCATTGAAGTAGCTATCAATAATGAAGTGAAGCAAATTTACTTTGGTTTATGTTTGATAACAGGTGACAATCTTGGGCTAAACACCATCTTAGGCTTTGTTGAATGCTTCACTGCAAATTATTTCTGTAGGATTTGCAAAGTTCACCGGGAAGTAGCCTATGATGATATTACTGAAAGAGAAAATCTCATTCGCACTCAAGTTGCACATGAACGGTATGAACGTATGAATGATCCAACTTTTACAGGTGTAAAAACTAAGTGCATTTGGGATGATCTTAAGAGTTTCAAGGTCACCAATAACTTATACTGTGATATAATGCACGATCTCTTAGAGGGAATGGCAGATTATGATATGTGTTTCATTATTTCTTACATGTGTGAAAAGGGATGGGTGGGCTGGGAGGAATTGAACGATCTTGTCCAGGGGTTCTATTATGGTAATCAGGAGTTTGGAAACAAACCACCGCTCATATGTAAGGAGCGTATCATGGAAAAGGAAACACTTGGTTTTTCTGCCTCAGAAATGCTCTGTTTAATTCGCTTTTTCCCCCTGATGGTAGGTCACAAAGTAGAGAAGGAGCATAAGGTTTGGAAATTCTATCTGTCACTCAGAGAATTAGTTGATTTGTTGCTGGGTCCTACTTTTGCACGTTCCAACATTCCATACTTAAACCTTCAGATTTCAGAGCACCATAGTCAGTACAAAGCTTTGTCAAAAAAGAATTTAAAACCTAAGTATCACATGGGTTTGCACTTTGGAAGAGTCATCTCCAAAGTCGGCCCTTTGAAGCCAATATGGGTCATGCGCTCAGAGTCTAAGTACAAGGAGTTAAGGCAGGCTGCTCATGTCACTAGCTCCAGAGTCAACATTCCGTTCACACTAGCTGTAAAAAGTAGTCTTAAAATGTGCCAACGCTTTCTCAGTAAGAAAGGTCTTGTAGAACGGCTGGAGTATTCATCTTATTCTGAGCGAGTATCTGTCATGTCTCTAGATCAGTTTGTTAACTTCTCCAACCTATCTTCTGTAAAACCTGATGATATGTGGAATCTTGTCAAGTGGGTTAAAGTGAATGGTACAGAGTACAGGCCTGACATGGTAGTTGTTGATGCAATGAACGATTTCTTTCCTCAGTTTGGAGTTATCAACCAAATTGCAATAACAGACAGTAAAGAAGTGATTTTTGTTCTGAAGCGCCTTCTAACTCTAGGATTCATTACCCACTTACACTCGTACCAGGTCAAAGATTATGAAAGTTGGGATTGCTGGGCCATAGTGCCGCAAAAGAATCTTGTTTCTCATACGCCTGCTCACAAAAGACTGTTCTTTGATGGTAATTTTTATGTTATGCTTAGGAACGCTATTTAAAGCAGTGGTCTTGATATCCTCATTTATTTATTATTATTATAATATGTTAAAATTTAATTTTAATTCCATATGATTTATGGCAACTTTTATTATGCTTAAGCTATGATATTCCTATTCTTTTATGTGTAATTACATTCATGTTAACTAGTTTCTACTGTATTTTCATGTGATCTATAATAACTTTTGTTGATCTCAACTCTTTTACTACTAAGCAATTAAAAAAGTGTAATCCTTTTCAAAATTTGGTCTCCTCTTATTTCTCTGTTTGGCACACCCTAGACTTTCAGATCTGATTAAGAAAGTAAGTGCTGCTTTCAGAGTACACTACAGTCAACTCAAACCATTTTTGAAATTGAGGGAAGTCTGTATGAGTTACTCCAACTTTCCATTAGTACTGAATTGAGTTGCTAATAGTTCATTTTATTACAATTTTGACCCAATTCTAGTATAATTAAACTTGATGCAATTGAAAATTTTAAAATTAAATCTAGTATAAAGTATACTTAAATCAAGTGCTGGAGCCTCGGCGAATTTCCCAGTATAAAATATACTTGAATTAACTATTGTATAGCTGATTCAAATTTACTCTTTTCTCGGTGTGAACGGAGGGGACGAAAATACTCCCATGAGGAAGATTGAGCCTCCCACCACGGGCTAGACAGATTTGACTAAAGTCTACTAGTTGCAGTGAAAAGGGGCCTGCACAGAAAGGATTCAATCCATAAAACCTAAAATAAAAAAAAAAAATTAAAAAAAAAGACGAAGGAAAGGAAGAAATAAAACCTACCGACACCAGAAGAATGCAGGGGGGGCGATTCCATGCCAAACCAACGAACGCTTGGAATTTCATCTCTCCGATTTTGATGAAACTTATTTTGGGGGTAGGGGTCATCATAAAAAGACCCCCTGCCAAAGGGTTTTGCGATATCTCACCCCGTTTGGCTGTGACAAGATATCAAAGTTTTAGCTTTAGTCTAAATCATGATGTTTTCTTGAATTTCCTCTTTTCTGGCTGATTTTTTTTTTATTTTTTTTCATCGTGTTTTTTTACGTAAAAAGATCTGGGGAACACGATGAAAACGGTTTCGAGACGATTTGGTGAAGTTTTGATGCCAAAATTTTCATTTTTCGTCATATTTTTTCGAAAAATTGCCATTCCCAAAATAGCTCATCTTCGATTTCGACCTTACTTTTACCAAATGATCTCCTAGCATAGTGGAACAAAACCCTAAAAGGGTTTGGTCGGCCCGCCCATAGGATCTGAGAAATCGCAAAAAGAAATTTTGAAAAATCACCAAAATTGAGTATTTGAGGTGGTGGTGGTGGTGGTGTGGGTTCTTGCCTGCGCTGCGCAGCCGTAGGGTGATCAAATTTTCCGCAAGTGTATATAGTACCGACCGAGAGCGCTCGGTTTCCGGTGATGATCCACAAAAGAACCCCTCTGCCAAAATTTGAGCGAATTCGAACAGTATTTAGGGGTAGCGCAGCGGCCTCGAAGTTTACTGGATTTACGTAAAAGGTGCCGAATACCCAGTTAGGAGACCGAAATCGACTATGACCCTTAAGACCTTTTCGACTCAGAATGTCAAAAAACATAGGTCTACGATGTTTGATTTTAAAAATTGTCACATTTTCAAAATTGACCTCTGCTAGGGGCAATATAAGGGAAATTTCGACGGCTCCACAGTTTCAAGATTTATTTCAAGATGAAATTCCGTTTACAATTTGAAAATTCTAAAAGTCATCAAACTTTTTTGTGGGCCTGTCTATCTGCAGCCACCACTAACATCAATTACCGAGGGGGTATGCACTCGCGTAATAGTCGGTACACCTGTCCAGTAATAGCGGTGTAATACTCGCGTAATACCTGTAATATTACGTAATAGGTGTATTACTACTGTAATGGACGTAATATGAGCGTAATAGGCGTAATGTCCGCGTAATAGCGCGTAATAGCCGCGTAATAGCCGCGTAATAGCCGCGTAATAGACGCACCGAATGACTGAGTATTGCCGTTTTGGAGATA